ACTTCGTTGAACCACTCTACAAAAATTTCCCTCGTGAACCCTGCCTTACTATTTGATTTCCAAAACACACAGAATTTAAATCTTCATAACATTGTTTTTCCTGAACACTCTGGGATTTTCAGAATGGTACACTAGTAATGGCTTCACTTTGAAATCCCCACTAGCATTAGCACAGAACATTAGCGTCAGCCTGTCTTTCATAGGCTTGTGTCCTGGCAGCGCCTTTTCTTCGTGAGTAATGTAGGTCTTCTTTGGCATTTTCTTCCAAAAGAGGCCTGTTTTTTATCACAAATTTAACACTTGTTCAGGTTTCAGTCCTTCACTGTTTATGTACTCCTTGAATTCATGCACATATTTTTCAGCCGCCTTGTCCGAACTGGCAGCCTCACCATGCCTTACCACACTGTGTATGCCAGTACGCTTCTTAAATCTCTCAAACCAGCCTTTGCTGGCCTTAAATTCACTCACATCATCGCTAGTTGCAGGCAATTTCTTTACCAAATCTTCATGCAACTGCCTAGCCTTTTCACAAATAAGCAACGTCATAAGACTATCTCCTGCTAATTGTTTCTCATTTATCTACACCAATAATAACTTCTCAACATCTTCGAGTACTGGTGATCTCATTTTTGTCAGCATATTTACTCCCTTTGCAACAACAGCATCCTTGATTTCCTTTTTCTTGGCTATGATGGAAGATATGGTTGTACGGGATTTGTTATACATCCTGGCCAGTTCGCCCACACTTATGCCACTATCATATTGTTCGATGATGTTTTTCTTAAATTCAATCTTATTTCTCACCTTCTTTACCAAAGGCTTGGCACTAGGAGCTTTCTTTGGAGCCATGGTAGCTTATTTAGCACTTTAATAATTTGCAAGCACTAAAATAAATGGAATATTATGAAATATTTCGCTGGAGCACGTGAGGGGACCGTCGCTCACTGGTAAACAATGGCACACTGGCTGGGAAGGAAAGGCCGAGGCAGCTCAGAGCGTGAGTATGCGTCCGGGACGAAGGACTATTAGCGAGTTACCGGACCATTTGCGAGCCAATATTTTGATGAAAAAACAGGACTATTTCCGAAATGGACGACTTTCAGGCCGGACGATTATTGAGGGACCACTGTAATACTAGTGAAATTTGGTCGACTGGAATAATGTAATTGGCCTAAAATGGGAATCAAAGTCTGCAAAATCGCCAATGCATAAATATCGCTGACACGTCAAAATTTGTGAGAGCATAACTTCATCAATTTTCCATCAAATTTCGTACTTTTTGTTTCATTACCTTCAGAAAAAGATTCTCTACCATTTCATAAAAAAATAATTATTTCTGAAAATTCTTGGACCCTGGTGCTCCCTTTGAAATTTGGCCTCTGGACCCTGAAAGGGTTAATTACATTACCTAATAGAATACTCCATTCTCTTGAATGTACAATAACTCATCTAATGACCATATGACCTGTTTCTGCACTACAAATCATTGATTTTACTCAATCCGATTCGATTATATTATACATTGTTATGCTGCAAATTTGTATAACTTTAATGCTGCTTATTTGAAATACTCATTTGTACTTCATGTTGTAATTTGTTTACTGTATTTTTTACCACTGAATGTATCATTGCTTAGTTAATCTTAAGTTAATTTTAAGCCTGCCCATAATGCTCTGCATACAAGGGCTTTTGGCATGTACACCCAATCACTATATTTCTTTGTACAACTATGTATCATGTCCAAATAAAAAATAAATACAGAATTGAACTAGAGAAAACGTAATTCTTGCCATCACTCTGACAAGCCATTTGGCTATCACATCTCATATTTGTCAGTTTGTTCTGCTGTGGGTGTATGTGTTATGTATTATGTAGTGTGTTTCTTATATAATTTTGAAAAAAAATCATAGATGGATTAATGATAATGTCTCTATATAATAACTTAAAATATATGACATTTAACCCCTTCAGGGTCCTAGGCCCAAATCTGAAGTGGTGCCCCTGTGTCCAAGAATTTAAAAAAAAAAAAATTGTTATTTTTTCTTATGAAATGGTAGAGAATCTTTTTGTGAAGGTAATAAAACAAAAAGTACGAAATTTGATGGAAAATTGACGAAATTATGCTCTCGTGAATTTTGATGTGTGAGCGATATTTACGAATTGGCGATTTTGCCGACTTTGACTCCCATTTTAGGCAAATTACATTATTCCAGTCAACCAAATTCTTAGCTATTTCACTAGTATTACTTCTATTCTATCGATTGAGCACAAGAAATCGCCAAGTCAACTGTTTCAACTACAAATTAAAGTGATCGGAAATTGTTAATTTGGCCAATTTAACACTAAGTTCAAAATATTCCAATTTCAAAATAGGGTCCAGAATAAACAATGTAGGTATTCCTGGAACTAAACTAACATTTCCTCTGTTCATTAGTTACGTTTTGAGGCTTTACAAATAAATTCCATTTTGATTTTTTATTCACATAATGAATTTTTATTCACACCAAAAAATAGAAGACTTACTGTTATGCAATACTGTAATTATTGTATAAATATCATCACCATATTTGTGAATGCATATTAGACCCACCAGCTGGCGTGTATTAGACGTGTGAGGTCGTTTGTTTACTCTTGAATATTGGCAAAAATTTAACATTTCTGCTACTTTGAGCTCAGTTTCAAGCCATTTCCAATGCTAAAACCAATCAAAATCATCTCTATTTCTGTAATATGTCTTCCATTCTATCAAATGAGACCAAGAAATCACAAATAGAACTATAAAAAACATACGAAAAAACACTGCAAAGTCACTGTTTTAATCGAAAAATCATGATTTCAGTTTTTTTCTCTCATTATACACAGCGTGCTGCAGGATCTGTTTTATGTGGTGCACACATACCACATAGATGTATTCTCTCATATCTAGGCCCAAATGTACCACTCACAGTTTATCAGAGTGAGCTGAGCTCATGACGTAGATCTACGGTTTGGACCCTGAACATAAAGCTGTAGATCTACGGGACGGACCCTCAAAGGGTTAAAGCACCCCAGAGCGATTATTATTATTATTATTATTATTATTATTATTATTATTATTATTGCATCATCAGTATTAGTGAGACACTTTTAGTGATTTTAATGTGTGCCTGCATGCCAGCACAGTGTGTAAGTTTATTTAGGTACAGGTACATAAGTGCACTTATCAGAGAATATATAAAATGTGCAATAATTTTAAAACACTTGAAAGTTCGGAAAGTTTCCAGATGTAGTCGAGAGATGTGGAGCTCATAGAGGATGTAAACAAAGTGGTAAGTGGATGCCGTAATAGCGAATCAGGGACGGAGTCATATAAATCAATATTGGTCATAATTTGAGATGTCCGTATTAGCAAATTGCCATAAAGCAAAGTGCCATAAAGCGGTTCCTACTGTACATAAAATTAGTGAGTTATGGGTTTTGTCTCAAGTGTGATTTGTTTATTTTAACAGGGGACATTATATTACAAGAGCATTTGTATAAATGTTTTGTAGTTTTCCTAACTTCTGTTCTGAATTTTTTCTTACAGCTGTGGTAAATTTAATTAATATTTTATTGTGAAGCTTGAACTTTATTGTTTTCTATTGGTGTTTTAGTTACGTTTGTAGAAAGTTAGATTAAGTAGTAGCGCATTATCATATCGGAAATTATTCTTGGTGTTTGTGGTACTGTTATTGAGGAAATTTATATTCTCCATAGGCATTTCTTGATATTCTTGATGTTTTTCATATGTGTAGTAGGTTGTACTTCTTTTCTCTCTATTATTACCAGTAGGTTTACAATTTGTTATAATTATGTGCTTAGGAATAAATTTTGAGCTTTAGTCAAGTATCTGGCTACTGAGTATGCATTTTGAAAATAAAATTTGTTGGATAAACCTTTGAAAAGCAAGTACAGTGAAGCCTCTGTTTTTGTGCACCTCAGTTTTGGTTTTCAACGACTTTTTCTATCTAAATTTTTTTCCCAGTTTTCGTACATCACCTCAGTTTTCGTAGAGTTGACAATGGTCCATACTGAACACGTCCGCCTGCCCGCCTGCATCACTCGGCCACTCAAGTGCTGAGTGACTCAGTCTGCCTTTGTTTATCATTGAGTGATCATCACCCTGCGTGGGAGATAGTGTTTTGGAGTTGATAATTTGCGAAAAGGCAAGGCAGTTGATGGGCTGAGCCTGACCCTGACGATCCTACACCTGCTGTGGAATCTATTGCGTCTTTGGGGAAGTCCATGGGGGGTTGGATGTGAGTGGCCAGGATGTGGAAGAGTTGGTGGACGACCACAGGAAAGAGTAACCACTGAAGAGCTGCAACACCTTCAACTGGAGCAGCAACAGATCGCAGCTGAAGAAATTGCTTCAGCGGAGGAGGAAAAGAGAGGGGAGAATGTGCCTTCTTCAGTGATTAAAGACATGTGTGCAAAGTTGAGTGAGTTGCAAAGTTTTGTGAAGAAATGTCACCCTAACAAAGCTTTTGCATTTATCTATTTCATTAGTCATTTATATTTATTTCTCATTGTTTTCTGTATGTAAAACTATAGTTATTCTCTATAAAATGTATTTTTGTTAATATTTTTGGGTGTCTGGAATGGATTAATTGGATTCCCATTATTTCTTATGGGAAATATTGCTTCAGTTTTTGTACAATTCGGTTTTCGTCAAACTTTCTGGAACGAATTAATCACAAAAACCGAGGTTCCACTGTAGAAAGTTATTTATATAAATGTTAAATAGTATCTGTAAATGTTAATTTATCTTGTATTAGACTAGGCATATAAAATGAAAAATTATTGAGATGTGTTTAATAATTGTTATTTTTAACAAGCAGTGAAATAAATCAAAGTTTTAGGAAATATGTATGTATTATATCATCAACATTGATATGTTGATATTTATCCCACACGGAGTAAACTCTTACATATCTCTGTATGTTATATTGTGATAATCTGTATAATTTATATTCTTTTAAATAACATATTATCTCATGTTTTTTATATTCCATTTAGGGTAAACTGTGTGATGGGGTTGATATCCCCCCTCATCCAACAGCACAGGTAACAGCCATTGAGTGGCATCCAACCAAAAGAATTATGGCAGTTGGCTGGGAGTCTGGGGAACTCTATCTTTGGAATGACCATGAGCATGAGCTTCATGAAATCCAGTCTCTTCATCGAGCTCCTATTTCCATTCTCAAGTTTAGTGAAGGTGGAACAAGACTTGTGTCTGCAGATGCCGTGAGTAGCTTAGATTTTCTTACTGTAGTTGTTTGCATTACTGAAGCTTTACAGGATTTTAATACTGTAATTCATAAGTATTTGCTTTAGTCTGCATGCAGTGGTATGCATGACAAGAGGCTTTCCCCTAGAATGCAAAAAAATGTAGTCCATGAGCTGAATCAACACCCTGTAATTCTGAAAATAAAAGTGAATGAAAATTTGAATGGTAAATGAATGGTCTTCTCACAGATTGAAATTGTTCATACATTCTTAGGAAAATATGAAAAATATTTACAGCTTGGAAATATAATAACTTGGAAAATTAATGTAGATGAAGGTGAGTGAAGTTTACTTAACCATAGAACACATACAAACTTGAATTTTCACCCAACTGAATCAAACATTGAAAAAGTAATAGAAAATTGAAAATGTGAATCAAAACTAAGACATGAACAATACTACACAGGTCCCTTCAGCAAGAGATATGGCACAGCCTGTGGTACTGTAGTCTGGCTCTGGTCTGCTGTGGCTCAATATGATATAAATATAAAATCTTCAGAAAATAGAACCAGAAGATTCTGTCACCTCATATTGAAGACAGATCTTGACACCTGTGATAGAAGAGGCATGAAGCAGTAATGAGGAGTGCATGTCAACACAAGGGGCAGTGTAGCACAACTCCTGAGTGAACTGTCAGTGATAGGGTGAATGCATATGTCTGGAGATTTTGGATATACATACAAGGAGGTGGAGAGCTGACATTGATGAAATACCGTATCCATATTGGCAGTGTCAACTGTCTACCTCCTTGTATATCCAAGATCTCCAGACGCATGAGTTCACCCTATCATTGACAGGAGTCTTGCTACACTGCCCCATGTGTTGACATGCACTCCTCATTACTGCTTCATGCTTCTTCTATTACAGGTGTCAAGATCTGTCTTTATTTTGAGGTGATAGAATCTTCTGGTTCTATTTTCTGAGGATTTTATATTTATATCATATTGAGCCACAGCAGACCAGAGCCAGACTACAGTACCACAGGCTGTGCCATATCTCTTGCTGAAGGAACCTGTGTAGTGTTGTTCATGAAATACCATATCCATATTGGCAGTGTCACATGTATGTGAGGTTGATTTCCAGTTACAGGAAAATATTAGACTTAACATTCACTTTTTTCCCTAAGCTCAAGGAAGGTTGCACTTTGACTAGGGAACCAACACTCGCAGCAGTTACCACTATTATAAGTGGTTCACTTGCTTAACACCTAAACTACGGCATACCTGCAAATAAAAATTCCTGTATGTCAGAAGATTTTGAAGAAATGGCTTGAAACTTACCTCAAAGTAGCAGAAATGTTCAGTTTTTGCCGATGTTCAAGAGTGAACAAATGACATCATATGTCCAATACATGTCAGCTGGTGGGTCTAATGTACGTTCACGAATGCGCTGATATTATTTATACAATTACATCCTCTCCTCACTTAATGATTGCATTCCGTTCCTAAGACCAAGTTGGTAAGAGAATTCGTTGCTAAGTGAGGAGTTACTGTAATGGTAGTGGGTTTGTGTCAACCATGATTGATATTGTTTTAATGTCACTTTTGCACCATTTATAATATTTCTGGTATACAGTGGTACCTCGGTATACATCCGCTTTGGAATAAGTCCAACTTGGTATACGTCCTGTTTGGGCGCGAAAATTTTTGCTCGGTATACACCTTTGTTTGGAATACAATTCATGTGCTAGAAATTGTATGGATCGTAATGAGTCACGACACTGTGCGCTACCCTTGTGATGAAACAAGCCTGTTTCGGAAGAAAATGCCTAGCAGGACCTATATTACACAAGAGGAGAAGGCATTACCAGGACACAAGCCAATGAAGGATAGGTTAACACTCTTGTTCTGTGCCAATGAAAGTGGGGATTGCAAACTGAAGCCTTTACTGATCTACCACTCTGAAAACCCGAGGGCCTTTAACAAACATATCGTGCAGAAAACTCGGTTACCCGTGATGTTTTTTATTTATTTATTTATTTAATAATTTGAACATACATACAGAGGTACAAAAAAATACAGGTAAGAGCAGCATGCCAAAGCCACTTGTATGCATAGCATTATGGGCAGGCTTAAAATTAACTTAAGATTAACTAAGCAATGATGTAATCAATGATAAAACATTATTGTAAACAGATAACAATAAAGCACAAATGAGTATTACAAAGACAGGTCATATGGTTGCATGCATTGCTGTACATTCAGTAGAATGGAGTATTCTGTTAGGTAGTGTATTTAAAAAATAACAAAGTTAGATTGGGTCTTAGGTTTAACATTTATGTGATATAATTGGGAGAAACATTTAAGAAACACAATTTATAAGGTTCAGTTATTCAGTATTTACAGTGGACCCCCGCATACCGATGGCATCACATAACGATTAATCCGCATACCGCTTGCTTTAATCGCAAAAATTTTGCCTCGCATACCGCTTAAAAACCCGCTCACCGATTTTCGTCCGAGACGCGTCCAATGTGCGCCCTCAGCCAGCCTCACATGTGCCGCCGGTGGCATTGTTTACCAGCCAGCCTCCGCGGTAACATCCAAGCATACAATCGGAATATTTCGTATTATTACAGTGTTTTCGGTGCTTTTTCTGGAAAATAAGTGACCATGGGCCCCAAGAAAGCTTCTAGTGCCAACCCTACAGCAATAAGGGTGAGAATTACAATAGAGATGAAGAAAAAGATCATTGATAAGTATGAAAGTGGAGTGCGTGTCTCCGAGCTGGCCAGGTTGTATAATAAACCCCAATCAACCATCGCTACTATTGGTGGTACAGCTGCTGCTGCTGCTGAACTGTCAGCTGCTGCTGCTGCTGTAGCATCGTCTGCTGCCGCTGCTGCTGTAGCATCGTCTGCTTCTGCTGTAACATCGTCTGTTGCTGCTGTAGCATCGTCTGCTGCTTCTGTAGCATCGTCTGTTGCTGCTGTACCACCGTCAGCTGCTGCTGCTGCTGTAGCATCGTCTGCTGCTGCTGCTGCTGTAGCATCGTCTGCTGCTGCTGTAACATCGTCTGTTGCTGCTGTAGCATCGTCTGCTGCTGCTGTAGCATCGTCTGTTGCTGCTGTACCACCGTCAGCTGCTGCTGCTGCTGTAGCATCGTCTGCTGTTGCTGTAGCATCGTCTGCTGCTGCTGTAGCATCGTCTGTTGCTGCTGTACCACCGTCAGCTGCTGCTGCTGCTGTAGCATCATCTGCTGCTGCTGTAGCATCGTCTGCTGCTGCTGTAGCATCGTCTGTTGCTGCTGTACCACCGTCAGCTGCTGCTGCTGCTGCTGTAGCACCGTTGTTGGTGTGGCTTATTGAGAATACCAAGAAACAATTAACCCCAGAGGATTTGCCACCCAGGAAACCCAAAAAAGTCAGTGTCATCGAAGACTGTCTAACTTATTTCCATTGGGGTCCTTAATCTTGTCTCCCAGGATGCAACCCACACAAGTCGACTAACACCCAGGTGAACAGGGAAAAATGCCTGGAACTAGTGCTCATATTGGTGAATTTAAAGCCAGCAAAGGTTGGTTTGAGAGATTTAAGAATCGTAGTGGCATACACAGTGTGATAAGGCCTGTTCTGGAAGAAAATGCCAAACAGGACCTACAGTACTCAGGAGGAAAAGGCACTCCCAGGACACTGTCTCATCAGTCATTGCTGCATCTTCAATAATGGTAAGTGTCATTTATTCTTCATTTAGTAGACTAGTACATGCACAATATATACTGTGCATGTACTACTCTACTATTGTGCATGTATCCTTCTCTTTGTGTGTAGGAAAATGTATATTTCATGTGGTAAAATTTTTTTTTTCATACTTTTGGGTGTCTTGCACGGATTAATTTGATTTCCATTATTTCTTATGGGGAAAATTCATTCGCATACCGATTATTTCGCATAACAATGACCCCTCTTGCACGGATTAAAATCGGTATGCGGGGGTCCATTGTATTTGGTTTTGTGTGAGTAAGTAGAAGTGATACAAGGAGGGAAGAGTATATGGAGAAAAAGAGAGGTTAAGAGAGTGGTGAAGCAATGTAAAAAAGAGAGCAAATGAGAGAGTGGGTGAGATGTTATCAACAAATTTTGTTGAAAATAAGAAAAGTTTTGGAGTGAGATTAACAATTTAAGAAAGCCTAGAGAACAAAGGATTTGCATTTAAAAATAGGAGAGGAGAGTTTTTAAATGGAGGTTAGAGGTATTGGAAGAGGAGGGAATTTTTGGGGAAATTGTTAAATGTATGAAGTAGGAAGCTGTGATTTCGTGTTAGGGAAGGGGGAAAAAATTTGTGGATGGGGAAAGAGCCATTTGGAGTGGGGGGGAATTTGAGGCAGTAGGTAAAATGAAAGGGGAAAGGGACCCGGGTTGATGGGGTAAAGATAGAAAGTTAAAAAGCAGGGGGGGGAATAGTTTTTGGAGGGTTGGGCAAAAATTTAATACAGGGCCCCCCCGGTTAAGATTTTTTTCATTCAAGGTATTTCGGGTGCGTATGACTGAATTTGTTCCCATAAGGAATATTTGAAGTGATTGCCCATTTCAGCCCCCCCAAACAAAAAAGTACAAACGCAATTACTAAAAACTTAAAAATTGGTGCATTGGGGGGTTCTTTAAGCGGGGGGTCCATTGTAAATGTAGGGAAGAGGTAAGGACCTGGGGGAGGCAGAGAGCTGCATATTTCCTTTTTGTATAAAGGCAAAGGGTAAAAGAGAATGCAAAATTATAGGGGGTAAGTCTTTTGAGTATACTGGTAAAGTGTATGGTGAGTTTTTTTGAAAGAATTAAAGAGTAAGATGGGAAATAGGATAGAAAAAGAACAAGGAGGCTTTGGGAAAAGGTAGGGGTGTGTGGCCGGGTTTACAGGAAAAACTATAAGTAAACATATTTAGATAAGGTAAAGAGGTCTTTGTGGCATTTATGGTTTTGGAAAAGGTGTAGACAGGGTGGATAGGGGGGCAATTGGCAGATG